CAGCAGATGAGTTCATACTGGTTCGTGAAACGGTAGTCCGTTTGGAAAAGATTCCATCGCCGAAGCGGTGGATAAGCAAAAGCAAAACGCAGACAAAAATGGAATAGCAAATACTCTCTTATTTAATAAAGGTGACTTAGTCCTACTGTCTACGGTTAATCTACCATAGCACGTAGTGAAAAGCGTGGGTAGTAGTTTACTACTACCCAAGTACATCGGCTCATTTTGTGTATTGCTTCGCCTAGGCAACGCATACACGATCGAACTGCCACGTAAGATGCGAACGCATCCCACGTTTTACGTTGGTCGGCTTAAGCCGTACCATCAGTACGCTGCTTCTTCCGATGAAGAACGCCCTTGCGCTCAAGCATCTCGCAGAGAGCCTTGTGCTCCCGATGGTGGACATCGACAAGGGTCTGAAGAGCAGTTATTTCATCCCGAGACCGATCAGCAATCCCACGAGCTACCCTTAGCTCGTCACGAAGAGATGTCAGAGATCTCTCGTTCTCAAGCTGAGCATAGGCGAACTCAGCTCGATGCTTCGAGACAGTGTCCGCCATTTGGAGACGCCTGTCCCGCTCATGTTCAAGATCGTTGCGTAACCCTTGCGTTACGCGATCAAAGAAGCTCTCGGGAACACACCGATCCACATGATCGTGTGGAGAGCGTCTTTCCTCCTCCTCCACCTCCATTAGAGGACTCTCGCGGTGGCCAGCGCTATCTAGTTGAGCATCTGCTGAACCACCGCGACGTGAACGGACGTCGGACGAGTTATCTCGTCCGATGGCGCGGCTATCCCCCGTCCTGGGATTCTTGGGAGCCCCGCTCCCAACTGATGATCGACGTACTGGGTCTGGTTGAGCAGTACGACGCGGCACATCCTGTGCCGCAGAAGGACCGCCGGAGAAAGTCTTCCCGGCACGGTCGTAAAGGGATTTCAAGTTGTCAATCCCTTCGTACATCTCAGTAGAGACACGTACGCGCCACCACGGGCTGGTAAGGAGGTAAGCCTCCTTAGGTGCTCGTGCAGAGTTGTTCGCACAACATGGGCACGAGTCTCCCCAAGAGAGGCAGGGTAATCCTTTCTCCCTTGACAGACGATGCAGCTTGTAGCGTGCACCTGTCGGGGTTCGCTTTTCAAACTTATCACGAGCTTTGATAAGTTTGTCGTTCCAAGCGTCACGACCTACATCCTCGAGGTTATGGATGTAGGCGTTCCACGCCTGAAGTAGTGAGGGACCATCACGTTTGTGATTCCCACTGTACCATCGATGTCTAAAGAAAGCATCGATGAAGAATTCATGTTCAGCGCGATAGTTTTTCGCGCTGGGGTCAAGGTGATGGATCCTTGACGAATCGAACAATCGTGTTCGATAACGATCACTCGTCGTCGCCGACAAGTGATCCATGACTGATTTAGGAGGCATCCATGCCTTCTTCTCAGGAGCGAGATGCAACACATTGCGGTCCCGCTCTTCCTGCGACGTGCCGACAGAAGTACTGGCACCTCGCTGTGAAGTGGTGTCCATAGGAGAACCGACACCACTATTAGCGCCCGAGTCTCGCGACCTCGAGCGCCTTCGCTTCGGCAATGGTTCATCTGATTCATCAGATGAACCAAAGATGCTGCGACGCAAAGCATCGTCCATGCCACGCTTGGTAGGCGGCTTAGATTCAATCGCCGTCGATACGGATCTGTCATCCGTATCAGGAGAGTACGAGACACCGAGCTCGTACTCTGTGAAGACACGAGTGTCTTCATGACCAGCGCCTGCATCACCAAGTGACACAGGCTGGGTCGCTTCAGCAACCGATGGGACATCAGTTGCTGTTGTTTCTGCTTCGGCGTCCGAACAGAGACGTGCGGACGCGTTCTCGGCGGCCTTGCTCGCGCATCGCATGGGCTTGTTAACCATGCGATGAGATGTTGGAAAGTGGACGCGGACCAACAAGTGCAAACCCTGTCCCAAATGATTTGGGACGAGTATCCATTTAGTCAATCAGTCACTAAAGTGACTGATGGTTAAGGGGGGGGTGATGAAACGGGGTGAATCGTTACATAACAATTTATAAGAAATTGTTATTAGAATATAACTATAAGAGTTATATTCTCAGAATATTGTCATAAGGACAAATATTATTTTGCACTTACAAGTAGTTCCTAATTGGTTGATATAGGCCATTATATCAACCAACGAAGACGCGCCACGACAGACGCACGCAATGAGTGGTGAGCAGATAACTGATTTACACATTTGTATTTAGACATAGTTAGATGAAGATAAATAGTGATTTATTGCAGACATTAACTATTATAAATACAGTTCTACTTTTTACTCAAACCAAGTACTCGCTTCTTCTTACCGTCTTCCTCTGCACGTACCAGTGTACGTGAAGTTACGAGGCACCGCCTTATTCTGTCATCAGAATAAGTAGCTTGTACTGTCACCAGTACAAGCTTCAGGGTGCCCCGTTACATTAAACACCTGTTCGATATAAGGGTCGAAATTTTCACAGTCGATCTCCAAGACACAAAATCATCGTTACAAGAAGCAAGAGGATATTAAGACCTACGGCGCGTAGCGCGAAACAGTACGCAATAGGCGATGCGGGTCTTGCTGCATGGTGCCTCATCATGATCCATCTCAAGAGCGCAAAATGGAGTGGTAAACGACTGTAGTCTAAGCGTTTTTAATTTTTCCAACAAAACAGTTAGGATTATAAACTACCGTCACCCCTTCTCTTGCTTGTAAGGCTTTTCTGCCGCTCGTACCGTCGTCAATCGTGCTTCTGCATCTTCCCGGACTCTGGCTACATAAAGTTGTATAACCCCTCTCCCTAGTCGACATCAGCTACTGTGTGTCTTCATTTAAACGCGCTTTAAAGCTATCTGTTACCTACCAACGTCAAACAGGACATGAGTAGCTAGCGACCAGTCGTCTTCTTTTACTAACGTGTACAGCTCTATAAAGTTAAAATCAGTATCATATATGACTAATCTGCAGATGTGCTCACGAACGTAAGGAATGAAGCTCGATGTACTGTCGAACTCCGAGTGCTTTGTGTCTAGCCTGAAGCACAAGTCTTTGCCCTCAGTGAGCGTCAATGTGACGCACCTTGTTAATTCTAGCAGCTAGATGTAGAACGAAGATATCTGTCGGTGTTGATAAAATAAACGCAGCAACGGAAACACTAATATTTACAGGATCGATAAAGGTTTGCAATTGCTATGGATTGCTGGCATCTGTGCTGAACGGCGTGCTGCCGTCCTGCGGATTATTGACACATGTATACCTGATGATAGACTTTTTTCATGTGCTCCTGTTGCTATGCCATCTTCACCAACTGATGTATTTTGCCTCGGGGCATTGTTTAATTTCTGTCATGGGAACGGCTGCGTCTGCAGTTTGGCTCACCTGCTCCACAAGAAAAAGAGATGAGCGTGCTGAACTTACCCGACGAAGATTCTGGCTGCGATCATCTTAAACGTGAGTATTGATAGGCACGATGAGGATGGTGTAGTCAAGAGATCAGATCGTTGCGCTGCGTATGTGACATCGATAGACGGCGGTGTGCACGCAGGCTCGTATCATCCTATTATTCGCATAATTTATTTACAGTATTGTTAGAGGATTAATTCGAGTCGTCTTGAAGTTGTCGTGATTGCCTTCTTGTCAGTAAACTACCTTGTGTTGATTTTGGCTCGTTATCTATCAGCGTTGCTCTAAGATCGCGTACATCCCGTTGATCGACAATGTTTGCGGTAACCAATGCACCTATGTTTTAAAAATAACGTCAAAAACCCACATTTTGGATAGTATAGCAAACGAAAAGACTACTTGAAATGTAGGCTTATATCGGCTTGGTTAAGGTGAATACAATCCCGCTCTACTCCACGTCTTTCTCACTCTTATGTGAACCACCGTAAAAGCTTCGATGACGGCACTCTTACATAGTTTACCTGAATTCAGACCATCTCAAACATTAATGTTGTAGCGGAGGTACTCTAAGTCCCCTGTCAGAGAAAGACTTCTAGACTTGTAGAGTCTCATAGCGTATCAAACTTAGCAGGTATTAAGTTAAAGGGTCTCAAGTCTTTGGACTTGGTGAGACTTAACTTTAAGTGTAAGTACAAGCTTTAAAGCTCCTAGTCATGGTTCAGGGGACTACGACCCCAAGGAATGACGCGGCACGGGTGCCCAAGAATACTTAGCCTTAACTTAGACACTTATCTCTAACGACCAGAGACGTCCCTAAATGACACGTGTCTGTAACTGATCAAAAGGGGAACTGAATACATTTACTGATTTATAGCGATAATAAACCTTACTTACGTCTTTAACCTTAAAACTATGCTACCAGATAGAATAGTCCTCATCATGGTTTATCTTGTGTACCACACCAGAACTACGTCACCTCTATAAAGACCCTATTTACGATAGATATCTTCCAACCATAACTGATAGGGTACGGTTTCATCGCTGAGCGCATGGCAATACTAAGGCACGTGTGTATTCGACGGAATATCAGGTTAGTGAGACTAATCCAAGGCCTTCCCCGCGACTCGAATGCGATGCTAAATAGCGAGGAATTGGTGAGTTATTACCTTTAAGATTCGATAATAGTGTGGTAAGTAGGTATAGGAGATGAATATTAGTAACACAGAAAAAAATTATTTTTAGCTAGGACTTAGTTCGACGATGCTACATCTAAGCCTATCACTATCAATTTTACGACAAAAGTGACGAGCGACGAGTCGATTCCGTTGTTACGCGTACCCTCGTAGTTTCGTTGCTGTCATGTCATGTCGTAGGTACACGACTACTCGTATTTTAAACGATCTTTAATTGCCTCTGCAAAACTTTTAGCTCCTGCATCTTTGTTTTTCTTGAGCTCGTCAGCGATGCGTTGTATTAGCGAAGGTCGAAATGTTTTCTCCAGGTAATCAAACACATTACTGTACTGGAGATTGACTTCTGCCACGTGCTGTTGGTGTGCAGCTAGCATCCGTGTGTAAATATCACGTTTTTAGATAATCTTTTAAAAGACTTCTCATCGCCCAAAAGTTCTCCAAATAACACATCTAGCGGATCCTGATTTCGAAAGTGATTGCCATACTCCTCGTCGGGGATGACGGTCGCGCGTCCGTTGATAATTCCAATTTCGTTCGCGAATTCCTCTGCAAACAAAGATACGCCTAGTCTGCCGGTGGCAGATCGGAGCTGGCGGCCAGCAAGGACACCCATCTCATCCTCATGGAGCGCACCGGCGTGGAGCAAAATCCCGTTGGATACAAAGACAATGATGCCAGGTAGCAGAACCGCGTGGACGAGGTGCATCGTTCAGAGGAAGGACTAGGGAGGTGATGCTTGGAAGGCGAGTGCGAAAATGACAAGAGGTTTGGCCTTTGAAAACACAGTGCGTTGTTCGTCCAGCCTGCCGTCCGATCTCTGCATTGGACACGTGCTTGCCGTTGTTTAGTGTTTAACTATCGGAGGAAGGTGACCCGAACATGCGGGTACTACGGTGTGTAGTTCCGCATGCATCCAGATACAATTCGGAGCTGTGCTAATTACCTATCCTGCTGACGCCTGGACGGCAGCTGCCAGAAGCCACCCTCGCTCATGTCTATAGACCGGCTTGCCCGGGTTAATGCCAGAATAGCATATGTAGCACTAAAAGAGCGAGAGGAGCCGACATCGCTCGATGGTCATAGACAGACTCTTCGCTCCGTATGGATGCATGCGGTTCCAGTCAGTGGTTAAAGATGCAGTCTTGGCCGTGCTGACGAGGGTACAAGCGACAGGGTGCGACAGACCACACGATTGTAGGCGGTTTGAGATACCCAGTTTATGCTCAACCGGCTTGCGGCATAGGGTCTCGAAGGGCTTCCATCTATTCTAATTCTGCACTTTCACTGCAGTTGTTTGCTGTATTTGGTTCGCAAGTGAAACGTTGAAGGTCATCATTACGACTCCATAGTGCACGTAAACTGCAAGAAACGGAGCTCGCGTGTATAACTCGCCCATAACACCGACGCATCAACGTTGCTCTTCTTCACGCGTGCGCTGCACGTGCTTGCTGAACAAATACCCTTCGAAGCACCTTAAAACGTCCGGTCTGAACCACGGTAAAACGGCTGCTGCGTTTGCCATGTAAAAACAGTCTTCTTCACAGTCTTTGTTGCTGGGTAAAAAGATGACGCCCATTTACAAGGGTTCCGATCAAGACAGGTTCTACTACATTTGAAGCCCAGGCTGGTTCCGTGCATGCATTCGGACGATAGAACGTGCTTCGAATCCTCCTGTACTCGACGAGCTCAGTATCAGAAAACAAAAGCTGGAAAGGACGCAAGGACAGCGCGTACCGATGACCTGCACATGTCTGCAAATGGATAGTACGAACTCAGTCTGCGCCTGGTGGAGTGTCGCGTCTAGTCGATGCAGTCTTTCGCGCAAAAAGTGTTGCTGGGGTGGCATCGGCTTCATGCCCGCGTGTCATTTGAAACTTTCACGGTACCACAATGGGTGGACAGACGCCACGAATTTTGTGGGTTCGTTGAACTGCATTGGCGAACTGTCTCTGATTGAGCAGTATCCACAGCCTAGAGAATATGCGTCATGATGCACATCACCATTGTCGCCATAAAGGAGCCGGACCAGGCGACACAACTCGAGGTCATGAGTCGCGTCACCTGGTCCGGCTTTCATTCAGATGGGCTCACTTCCGACTCTTTTGCCAAAAAGACGCGGACACCGCACCGGCTATCTAGCTGTCTCATTTTTTCCGCCATGACAATGGTCATGCGACTGGCTAGGCCGGTCTTTCGCCTTCACACCCTGTAAAATAGGGGAGCAAGCTCTGGAGCTCGCCTGATCTTCAGTCCACAGACCTGTATCAATTTTTTGCAACGTCACGTACCTTGCGCTTAGTCAGGACTAGCTTTATCGTTCGAGCTATCCATAACGATTAACAACGAAGGGGGGGTGAATCGCTAGATCGTATTAAATATGACATGTAAGGAATCACAGCGCTTATTGCCGACACGTGCCAAGGAGGCGACACTACATTGCACTGAGTGTGGGCGGGAAGTCCCCTATAGTGGAGCTGAGATTAAAGGGGGGAGGCCATCTTGCTGCTGTGTGCGCTACGGGAGGCAGCGCTGCGTGCAAACCGGAAGGGGAGCAACAACCACGGCATCTCGAGGTGGAGGCCACGTCAGATCGACCGCCCTGCACCACGTACAAGTACCTGCTCTTGTACACCCGCCATCACACCCGCCATCAAGTCGCTGACCCGTTCGCCTAGCGCGAACTCCGGCCCATAAAGCGAACTCGCTATAAACGTGATGCTGTCCGGTGGACCCGGCTACGGCGGAACGTGCTAGGGACAAGTCAAGATGGCCAACCTCGGGACCGTTCGAAGTGGTATGAGACCTCAGGCGTCCTCTGCATGCTACGTGCACCCCCAGCTTGGTCGTTGGTCACTCGTGCCCTTCTCAGAGTGACCCCCACCCCGTGAGGCCCGATGTATCGAGCCAGCAGAATGATCAAGAGAGGAGACGAACGATGTAGTCGTGGTAGACGACCAATAACCACCAGACACTAAAGACTAGTAATAAGTACTACAAATACACCGTCTAAATCTCTCTCACATTGCACTGAGTGCGACGTTCAAGGTACACCACGCGTTGATCACGTACACATGAGGTTCGAGACTAAATCGGACTCAGTACGATGATAATGGTACTCCTAGCGTTATTTGCAGACACACAGACAGACACGCACACAGGTAAGTACGATTTGAAAAGTTTGGCATTCGTCTTGCGCACAGTCACTAATAGCTCTACCCTTCGGGCTCACAATTATCTTTCACCTCACCCTCACCCTCTGCCGCTCCTGCTCCTGTCGCTCTATACGATGCTGTAAAGTAATCAAGGCTTGACCATCAGTGTCGTGTTCAGCTGTTTATGATGTATTAGTAAGCGCGTCGTCGTGTGCTGTTTGTAAGAACCTTAGCGCTACCAGTGTGTGGCGCGTAGTTTCACAAGAGGAGTAGGATAACATCAAGGCCGACGTCGTTTAGATGCTTCAAGCCGTAGCTATTCTACGGGCACGTGCGTATTTTTGATGTTTGGAGACAGCGGTTCACCATGTATCATATCTCTGGATGCCATTTCTGCACAGAACATTATAAACAACGCTAAGAGGTCGTAGGATGTTTTGATTAATGCAAGCGGCGTCCACCGCATAGCACTGAACGCTAGATCCAGCAGCATCAACTGTCATCAGTGACAACTGATCTACTTTTTGGCGGAGCAACAGGATCGGCGCCCTAACGATGGAACTCAAGTTCTCGCTTTCCACAGTGAATGGGTCTGTGGCCCGATGGGAAAGGTCAACGAAGTTGCACTCTAGCTGTAAATTCCCCCTAAACAGCAATGTTGTGGAGTGACTGGTGGCTTCTGAGATATCGCACACGCGCCCACCGCCGTTTCCTTTTTCAGGTACGAAAAACGTTCGGCTGACTTTGCATCCTCAGCATGTAACCTTCTCTCTCGTAGCTTTTGAACGAGCGGGATAGCAAAGCCTTAGTTAGTGGTTCATGATGACACGTTAATACAGTTAGCAGGCGACGCGGTGCCCCATGAGACATACACAACACGTGCTATAGCAGCAGGGAAGGTACGGCGTCGGTGTTTCAAAAGATTGTCCGTGTAGTTAGCGAATCTCTCGAGTTGGGACCGTTGGACACGCTCTCGGTGTGCACATGCCCTCGGCCTAACAACACTTTCGACCTAAATATATGAGAAAAGGCCAGTAAGAGGCAGTGTATGCAGTGCCAAAAAAAGTTACGGACACATATTGGCTATTCGCTAGCAGTGTAATGGCTACAGCTTGTTGTCAGTGTAGTCTGCGAATGCTTTCGTGTTGTTCGATCCATGTCACACTTGAAGTACTTCGACACTACCTCGGCCGCCGTACATATGGTGTAGACACTTCTATCGCACGCTCGAGTGCCACCCCGCAGCCTCTCCCATCATTGCTCGGGCTGTCATGTTATAAGCCGTAGTAGTCCTCCTGCCCATACGGTGCATGACAAACATCAAAGAGGAGATCAGTTCGTTTCGTACAGCATCGTCTAATTCAATACAATGTATCCACTCGTTTTGGTAGGCAGTTTTGTCGAACTCAATCTCCGATTGCTTCCGTGCATCCTTCCTTTCATTCAGTCGTCTACCAATCTTCATTTGCTGGGCAACTAACTACACTAAACCGTAAGGCCCGTATCTAAACGTACTCTATGGTCATCTCGAATCCGCCCTGTCTAGGAGTGCTGTCATAGGCCGATGATCGCAATGTGTGCTGTTTCCGTTCGAAAGTAATGGAAACGAAGACGAGCCATGAACAAAGGGTCACAATGTGCCGTGCTTCCTCACCTTGCCATTGTTGGGTACCCTCTCCACCACTCTATTGAATCACGATTGCTGTAACGGGGCAGGCCGTTACATGATATTGACACCAAACGGTGTCAGTAGGAATATTGTCTAGTATGACAATGTTCTACCAATATTATCCAAGAATGGATAATATTAAAGGAATATTTTTCCCATGTAGGATGAAATTCATGCGCTGCTCCAAGATTGGTTGATGAGCATGTATCAACCATAGATTGCCACCAATCGCTGCTAGACGCGCGCAATGAGTTGTGAGCAGGTTGTCGTCATGCGACAATGTAGGTTAATATAGTTAGATAACGACCGAAGTTATACTGATAGCTTAACTGTATTAAGTACATTTCTCTTTTTACCTTTACTCAACATAGCTGTTTGAGTAGATTAGCTTCCTCTACACGTTTTAGTGTACATGTAGTTTCGTGGCACCCCAAACAACAGGTGCCCCGTTACACCTGGTAGCACTTCGTAGTCCGTCCAACGACTACTTACATGAACATGTTGGACGTAGATGAAGATAGCTTTTACGTCACACGTGAAGGCTACTCCCATCTAAGTGACTCAGAATGGGAGATAGTCGGCCGCACGAGTGTACTCATGGGCGAACCCGTCATCAGTGGCATGTTGGAGTCTATAAGCAGAGACCAGCAATATGCTGCTATCAACAAGTTCCTATAAGGGGAAATTGCTGTCGAAAGACAGAAGATAGCCTTGCTACAGCAGCAAGGCTCTCATCAGTCGATGGGTGGTCGACGCACACGCGATAACCCAAAACTTTGAAGATTGACATCTTAAGGTATACGGGGGCCGATGAAGATTCTTTTTTGAGATGGTTCGTCGAGTTAGAAGACGCCATCAGGGCCCGTCACATCGTTGGTGACGAGATGCAAGTCACCGTCACCCTGTCAAATTTGACAGGAAGTGCAAGGACTTGGGCCTTAGGGCTCAAGCTTCACGACCAAACGTGTTTAAGGCATTTGATACCTTCAAGTCTTGGCTCAAAGAGACATTTGAGCCGCACGAGAGCCGAGTTCAGAGCACGCTCTGCACTCTTGAGGCTAAATCAAGGTAAGCGTGACGTGCACGCAAATGCACAGAACCTACGATACCTTGCGAGTAGCGTCACGAAAAACCCTGTTGATGAGCACACACTAATCAACGTATTCATCTACGGCCTTGTGGATGGGCCGGTGAAGACCTACATGTTCCAAGAGGACTTCCATACGCTGGAAAGGCGATAGCGTCTGCGGAACAAGAAGACTTCAGCCTGAGACAGTCTCAGGCTAACTCGTCCAACTATCGTCCGACGAGACGACAGGAAACAGGAGGTCCCGAACCAATGGACCTCTGTTACATCGAGAGCGAGAACTCTCGCTCTCTGAGTCACAAGCGAACGGCTAGATTCCATCGCTGTCAGATGATTGGGCACTACGCTCATCAGTGTAGTGTCCCGAGCACTGCAACACGTCCAAAGACAGGACGTGATGACCACCGTTAACCAAGGAAAGGTCCAAGGCGTATGTCCGACCATGTCGCTAAACTACGACAGCAAGTCGGACCGCCAAAAAACGGACAGGGTCAGTAGGGGAGGAGCGCCCGGCTGATCCAGTAACGTCAAGATAATTTGCAGGAATCTTGACGAAGATTGCTCCCAACACACAGTCGCTGTGTGTTACTGCCCTTAGTAATAGGGAGTCTCTAATCACTTTGAAGATCGAAGTGACAAGTGGAACGTCACTTCGCGCTCTAGTTGACTGTGGTGCGTCGAACAGTTTCATTCGACACCAGTCGCTAGAATGTAGTAGACTCAATTGTGATGAGCGAGAGTTCCCTCCAACGAGAATGACGGTGTGCCTTGCTACAGGCGCATCCGTAACATCGAACAAACGTGTAGTGGGAATCCACAACACGCTAGAAGGAAAGCAGTACGAAGATGACTTCATCGTACTGGATTTGGATGACAAATTCAATGTCACCTTTGGTCTGCCATGGCTTAGAAAGTACCGGCCATGGGATAGCTGGCAGCATCGATCCGTGAAGATGCCTGCCGTTTGTTCATCAGATGGCCATCTGTTGGACGTCTTGCACCATCCACAAGCGTGTGGATGTACTACGAGTGAGTGTGATGGCCTCACTTTTGGTACGGTCGTTACTACACAAGATCACAGCGTAGAAGGCCACTGCACTGTGGAACCAGCTTCCAGCACCTGCGTAGAGACACAGGCTGCTCCGAAGGTTCACCACTCGAAGAGATCGAGTGGACTGGAACACGGATGCACACCAAGAAGGGTGCATCCGAAAAGAGAGATTAGTGTTGTTCAGGAAGAACAACACGTTGAAGCGAGATCGATTTTTAGAGAGTCGATCGCAGAGCAAGCCCGATCAACTGAAAGAGAGTCGATCGAAGAGGACGTGACTGTGGTAGTACAACCACAGTCAACGCACGTATTGGAAAGAAGTTCCAGCGTTCCTGAGAGTGATAACTTCCGAGAAAGTTATGTTGAGGGTGGGGATCCCCAACCACCTGCGGATGTGTTATCCGAGGAAAGCACCGAGACAGTGAGTGTCTTGGTGAATGACGGATCAAGTGTAGGCGCTTATACTCTTGATCTGGTTAAACCTCCGAAGCTATCTTCGGAGGTGGTCAAGTTGACAATGCTAGAATCTAAAAGACTCTTGAGAGGTCTGCGTAGTGACAAGATCAAGCAGATCTGCGTACTCGTCACAGAAGACGAGTACGTCGCCGATACTCGTTCGGCACAAGTGTTTGCTGAGAATGAACGGGTTCTCAGTAGTTCATCTATGGACGAGCGTGTCCTCGATGATGAAACCAGGATTGAGCAATACACGTCTCAATCTTGGGAGTCTTTGAAGACAAATTCTTTGTTTGATTATTTGCTCGAATTTAGGGATGTTTTCACTGAAACCGTGCCATGCGATCTGTCTAAGGAAAAAGGCACTCGGCATGAGATCGAACTGAAACCCGGTTCGAAGTACTGTGTCATGAAGCAGTGGCCACTGCCTCGTGAACAGGTCACAGCGATCGACAAATTATTTGCCCATCGCTTGGCGGCTGGTCATGTGAGGGAATCAACATCCCCACACGGCTCTCCGACCTTCTGCGTGCGAATGGCCACAGGAGGGTGGCGGATAGTGCACGCGTTCAACAAATTGAACACTGCGACGGTACTGGCTCAAACGCCGACACCGAGGAAGTACGTAATTATAGATGGTATGGCAAAAAGTGCCATCTTTTTGTCCATGGATCTGATGGATGGATCAGATCCTCATGCGTGAACGGTATATCCCTTACACATCAGTTCGCCCCCCCCAGTGGTATGCTCTGGGAGTGGCTAGTGATGCCACAGGAGCTAAGTAACGCCCTTGCAACGTTTAACAGATGTGTTACGAATCTGTTGCGATCGGTACACGATTTCGCACCGAGTTACTTTGACGACAGCTTCGTCCATATCCACATTGTGGATGGAAAGACGAACGTGGAGATTCATAGAATCCACATCAGGAAGGTTATTACACTAATGCGAGATCATAAGTTGTTCGAGAACCTCAAGAAAGTGTGTACTCGCAGCCAACGAAATATCACTTCTTGGCTGCATCGTGGGTAAAAACGGTGTACGCCCTGATCCGAAAACGATCAAGGTGATTAGCGAATGACCTGTGACACTCGAAGTCAAGGGACTTCGAAAGCTCCTTGGCTTGGCGGCGTACTTACACAAGCACTCGCGCAACTACGCCAAGAATAACCGTATATCTCTCTCGTCTGCTAAAGAAAAACGAGAGGCGGTCACGGAGTGCTGAGTGCCAGCACTCCTTCGAAGGTGTCAAGAAAAGCTTGGTGCAATCGCCTGTGTTGGCGATGGCAGATCAGGATAGGCCATTTCATGTGGTCTGTGACGCCAGAGATTTTTCAATCGGCTGCGCGTTAATGCAGTACGACTCAGACGGCGTTGAGCGCGTCGTCTGTTATCAATCGCGTCAGGTGCAAACAGCTGAGCGTAATTACCCGGTGCATGACAAGGAACGCCTTGCCATGAATTATGCACTGGCCAAGTTTCGGGTATATCGCTTAGTAGATAGGCCCTTCATCGTTTATACCGACCATGCGTCGTACGCACAGCCGTAAACAATCCACACCTCTCGCACCGAATGGAGAGGTGGCTGTCTTTCTTCGAGGAGTACAACTTCTCAGTCAATTATAAACCGGGAAGCCTTAATGTCGTCGCTGATGCTCTTTCGCGTCGGCCCGATGTCGAGCCGACTGCTCAACCCAACAGCAGGGGTGATCCCACTGTTGCAACACTATCAGTGAGTATTTCGTCGTCGAATCTGCTCGACGAAGTGCGAAGAGCATACGCAGAAGATGAGTCTCTTCTGCATTGATGGATCAAGTATCTAATCCATGCACTCAAGCTTTGAAAAGATTATCGTCTCAATACCGCTCTTCAACCGAGCGGTATTCTGTTCGTGATGGACTGCTGTACTGTACAGCAGTCAACGGCGACACACCTCGTGTCGTCGTTCCCGCTCATATTGATTTGCGATCACGCATCATGTATGAGTGTCACGTTGACCCAACAAGTGGGCATCGCGGTACAGAAAAGACTTACCCCACGGTAAGTCGTATCTTCTACTGCCCCCGCCAATATAAGTTTGTGCGCAAATACATTCGCGCTTGTGAAGTCTGTCAACGGGTGAAGCCTAGTCCTTCATCCTGCGCACCCTTGCAGCCTCTACCGATTTCGGCAGAGTGTGGATTGCCCGTATCGATGGACTTCGTTTTTGGGTTTCCCAAAGACGTTCACGAGAATACTGCTATTCTTGTGTTTGTTGATCGGTTTAGCAAGATGGTTCATCTTGTTGCTGTACCGGAGTCAATCACAGCCCAGGGTTGTGCTCGTGTCTTCATCGATACTATCTTCCGACTTCATGAGCTACCCTGTGAACTCGTGTCTGATAGGGACCTCCTCTTTACAGCGGAGTTATGGCAATACGGGTTCCGTTCAATAGGAACACGTTTGACGATGTCGACTTCTGACCATCCTGAAACAGATGGCCAGATGGAACACGTCAACCGCGTTCTCAAAGAGATACTTCGAGGGTATGTCCACTCGTTTACGAGTTGGAGTGAGTTCTTGCCGATGGCAGAATTCGCCATCAACAACTCGGTGCATGCATCGACAACGCATACACCGTTCTTCGTGAATGGTCTACGCCATCCACGTTTACCCGCCTTCTTAGAGTGTGACTCTAGTTTACAGGGGGGGGCTCGTTCGAACGAAAATCGATCTGGATCTTGCTCATCACCCGTCGACAATGGTGTCGACGTGATGGATGCTGATGTCGATCACATCGACACCGACGATGATTATGACGACGATGCTGGTATATTCCGCATCGCCAATGACTGCCACAGTAAGAACGATGACACCCTCACTGTTGAAGACAACGTTCTTTTAGCATTTCACACGAAGAGCACTGCTGTTTAAAAGGATGAATAAGCAGAGGAATTTCTGCTGACTCGCGAAGCGGTTTTCCGCTTCGTTCAAGACCATATTGTAGATGCAGTATACAAGCAGAAAAGAAATGCAGACAAACATGGAACAGAGAATGTTCTTTCATTTGATGAAGGAGATTTAGTTTTACTGTCTACAGTAAATCTACCGAAACACGCAGTGACAAACGTGGGCAGCAGTAAATTACTGCCCAAGTATATCGTTCCATTTCGTGTGTTGCGCCGCATGGGCAACGCATACACGATTGAACTGCCCCGTAAGATGCGTACGCATTTTACGTATTGCGTTGGACGTCTCCGCCCGTACTATCAGTACGAGTCCGTTTCGAGATGCGAAGAACACCTCCGCGGTCAAGGGCCGAGACCACCTTTGCATGGTCCCGTTTCAACGAGCCAGTCTGGTCAACTAGCGAAGCGACCTGTTCACGCAGTTGAGCGATGGCTCGACGAGCTGCATTCAGCTCGTCACGAAGATAACGAGTCGAACGTTCGTTCTCAAGTTGCGCGAACGCAAACGCGGCACGATCTTTGAAATGATCGTGCTCTAAAGAGTAGTAATTATCCTTTGCAATATCACAGAGCTCGTAACGCCGATTCCGTTCATGATTCAGGTCATCTTGCAGCTGTTCCGTTACACGGTTCAGTTCCTGATCATCAAGCTGATCCAACCTTCGAGACGGATCAGGTGCTCCCGCCTCCACCACATCCTTTGGTGGACTCAGGCGGTGGTCATTGCTTTCTGGTGGAGCGTACCTTAAAACCACGGCGACGTGAATGGCGTCCGGACGAGTTACCTCGTCCGCTGGCGTGGCTGTACAGCGTCGTGGGACAGCTGGGAGCCTCGTGCCCAGATGATTGTTGATGTCCTGGGTCTCGTCGAGCAACCTGACGAGACCCGCCTGCTGCATTCGAACAAGGGCCGTCGGAAACCAACCTCCCCGAACACGAGTACAGGGATTGCAAAGTGGCAATCTCTTTGACCGTCTCATAAGAGATGCGCGCCGTACAGTAGGAATCATTAGGGAGGTAGACCTCCCTAGGGGCACAATTCGAGCTGTCCAGGCGACCTGGACACAAATCACCCCACGAGAGACAGGTTAATCCTGCCTCTCTTGACAGCCGGTGCAACTTGTATCGCACCCCGACTGGGGTGCGCTTCTCAAACCTGATGCGAGCTGCATCAAGTTTACCGAGCCAGGCCTCACGGCCAATGCACTCGATATTATGGATGAAGGTATTCCATCCTTGCACCAAGGCCTTACCGTCTCGACCACGGTTGCCGTTGTACCACCACCGATGTTTGAAGAGCACATCGGTGAAGAACTCTTCCTCAGCACGGATAGTTTCCGTGCTAAAATAGGTAGGACGGATCCTCCTACAGTCAAACAACGGAATTCGATCCTGTTCGGTGGTCACATGGGCAACTCGATCCAGCTCTTTGGATGGTGGCATCCAAGGAGACTCCACTTGAGGAGCATGGCGCAGGACATTGCGGTCCCTGGTCTCTTGAGTGGTATCAGTATGAGCACTGACAACAGTAGCAGCTCGATACCTCGAGTTGCTTCTCTCGTAATCACGCACAGGTGCTTCCCCACCATCAACACGCGTCCTATTGTTAGATGTATTGCGTAAGATGAGGATTCGTCAGACGAATCACTCGGTCCGAGGATCCCGGACATGATGTCGCCACGTTCCCCAGAGCAGGTCATACTGGTTCTTGGTGTGTCCGCCCCGGATGATCCGGAGGCGTGAGGTGTCGCCTTCGATTCGAATGCATCAGCCGACTCGCCAGAATCGATGAGCTCTATTTCAGGCTCATCCGCATTGCAAGCCACAGCACCCGCTGCAGATGCAGCGAATGTATCTGTCGCACATGGTGACTCACCACGTGGACTAGTCGCGACAGGCACTGCCTGTTGCTAACTTGCATCAGCAGGAGAAGGATCACCTTCTAATGAAGCAAGATAAGTGCTATCTTTGGATGCACGCATGCGTGCAACCGCCTTTCTGGCTGTTTCGGCAGCGCACCGCATGGACTTTTGCGCCATACGATAAATTGGCAACTGAGTTGGAATTTGAACGACAATTGCTCCCCTTTTCAAAGTGATCTAACGGTGATCACCTCATCACAATCACTTTAATTCAATTGACGGGGTGATTAATGGTCAAGTGGAGTGGGTGATATAACGAGATAGCCCGTTACATGAAATTGACACCAAACGGTGTCAATAGGGAGATTTTCTAGCGTGACAATTCCCTGCCAATGTTATCCGAGATGGATTAAATGGAAGGAGCATCATCCCATTGTTGGATAATATTCATGCACTGCTCAAAGATTAGTTGGTAAAGACACGTCAACCAAGATAACCACCAATCGCTGCTAGACGCGCGTAATGAGTGGTAAGTCGGATGTCGTCGTACGACAATGTAGATTAATATAGTCAGAAAAAGACCGAAGTTATATTGACAGCTTAACTGTATTTAGTAGAGTTCTCTTTTTACCCTTTGCTCAATTTAGCTGTTTAAGTAGATTAGCTTCCTCTGCACGTACTAGTGTACGTGAAGTTTCGCAACAACCCCAAATAAAGGGTCCCACGTTACAATTGCTCACATCACCTTCTCTCCTCTTAAATTTCTATTGTTGCACCAAAGAACTTTGGCGCATCTAGTTGCTAACATCTTTATTTGTAAATACCCGAGAGATATTCATGATACGCCCAGCTCCAAAGACTGACATTGGCGCTTTTCGAGCACCGCGACGCACTATCAAGCATGCCGCCCTCTTAATATAGGCCGTGTCACCTTCATCCGACGATATTGGCGAAAAGATGCCAATATGGCAGCACTGTCGATGAACACGGCATCAAATACTTGACTCACTACGAACGCATGGTGCATTCATCAATATTAAGTCCTGTCCTTCTCTTTCTGGTACTACAGGAAGAAAATCAAACGATATCGACACCTCCAGGATTTCAAACCAGCCAAATTGTTCAATTATGCTGTCAGAAGTGCCCTGCCTACAGAGCCATTGCATATCTACGTGGAGGAAACATACATGATTCCTTTACTCTACGGCAAGGTCGCTTCAGACGCAACTGAACTACGCATCCTGCTAGATCTCTGTAAGCGAGCAGATCTTACTTCGCGACGAATGCTCATTCTAGAGCGAGATATTCAAGAAAATCATTTGCTTCAACCTGTAGCACGTAGAATCGCGTCTGTAACTTCTTGAGCAGCACGACATGCGTCCAGTGGCAAGTCTCCGCCTCGATCGCGAATTTCATTGCATGCAGGTCTGTAAGGAGCTTTGCGTACAACCTTACAAGATGATTAGCGATGGTCTTGTTGAAATGGAAGCAGACGCCAAACCCCACAAGCTCTTCCCACCAGCAGTCACTTAGCAGCGACTCCATTGTCTTGAGACGCTCGTGGGCATTTTCCAGTAGCCGATCAAGCCGCAGCTTGAAAAAGTCCATCTTATTTATATCCTTTGCACGAAAGCAGTACGAGTCGACAATCAAGTTCAGTATATCTCGGATATCGTGGGGCGATGCTGCCATGTGTCGCCGCAGCTTCTGCATCGCACTACCACAAGAGAATGGCAATAGTAAGTGTCCATTGTTCCAGCCACGCGACGCTTCCAGTCAAAAGATCACATGCTAGTGCTGCTGTCCGACGTACAAGATCGGGAAGGAAAGCATCATCGTCGCAAGTGAAATGAAGGTGCCCGCGACGCCAACTGCGCTGTAAATGGCCAGCTGTTTAAGCCGATTCATCGTGCCATAGTAGCTGTTCCCGTCTGTGTTATTTGTGAGTATGCCCGTGTGAAAAAGGGCACCCTTTGTTTGGGAGCCACGAAACTACATGTACACTAGTACGTGCAGAGGAAGCTAATCTACTTAAACAGCTAAATTGAGCAAAGGGTAAAAAGAGAACTCTACTAAATACAGTTAAGCTGTCAATATAACTTCGGTCTTTTTCTGACTATATTAATCTACATTGTCGTACGACGACATCCGACTTACCACTCATTACGCGCGTCTAGCAGCGATTGGTGGTTATCTTGGTTGACGTGTCTTTACCAACTAATCTTTGAGCAGTGCATGAATATTATCCAACAATGGGATGATGCTCCTTCCATTTAATCCATCTCGGATAACATTGGCAGGGAATTGTCACGCTAGAAAATCTCCCTATTGACACCGTTTGGTGTCAATTTCATGTAACGGGCTATCTCGTTATATCACCCACTCCACTTGACCATTAATCACCCCGTCAATTGAATTAAAGTGATTGTGATGAGGTGATCACCGTTAGATCACTTTGAAAAGGGGAGCAATTGTCGTTCAAATTCCAACTCAGTTGCCAATTTATCGTATGGCGCAAAAGTCCATGCGGTGCGCTGCCGAAACAGCCAGAAAGGCGGTTGCACGCATGCGTGCATCCAAAGATAGCACTTATCTTGCTTCATTAGAAGGTGATCCTTCTCCTGCTGATGCAAGTTAGCAACAGGCAGTGCCTGTCGCGACTAGTCCACGTGGTGAGTCACCATGTGCGACAGATACATTCGCTGCATCTGCAGCGGGTGCTGTGGCTTGCAATGCGGATGAGCCTGAAATAGAGCTCATCGATTCTGGCGAGTCGGCTGATGCATTCGAATCGAAGGCGACACCTCACGCCTCCGGATCATCCGGGGCGGACACACCAAGAACCAGTATGACCTGCTCTGGGGAACGTGGCTACAGCATGTCCGGGATCCTCGGACCGAGTGATTCGTCTGACGAATCCTCATCTTACGCAATACATCTAACAATAGGACGCGTGTTGATGGTGGGGAAGCACCTGTGCGTGATTACGAGAGAAGCAACTCGAGGTATCGAGCTGCTACTGTTGTCAGTGCTCATACTGATACCACTCAAGAGACCAGGGACCGCAATGTCCTGCGCCATGCTCCTCAAGTGGAGTCTCCTTGGATGCCACCATCCAAAGAGCTGGATCGAGTTGCCCATGTGACCACCGAACGGGATCGAATTCCGTTGTTTGACTGTAGGAGGATCCGTCCTACCTATTTTAGCACGGAAACTATCCGTGCTGAGGAAGAGTTCTTCACCGATGTGCTCTTCAAACATCGGTGGTGGTACAACGGCAACCGTGGTCGAGACGGTAAGGCCTTGGTGCAAGGATGGAATACCTTCATCCATAATATCGAGTGCATTGGCCGTGAGGCCTGGCTCGGTAAACTTGATGCAGCTCGCATCAGGTTTGAGAAGCGCACCCCAGTCGGGGTGCGATACAAGTTGCACCGGCTGTCAAGAGAGGCAGGATTAACCTGTCTCTCGTGGGGGTGATTTGTGTCCAGGTCGCCTGGACAGCTCGAATTGTGCCCCTAGGGAGGTCTACCTCCCTAATGATTCCTACTGTACGGCGCGCATCTCTTATGAGACGGTCAAAGAGATTGCCACTTTGCAATCCCTGTACTCGTGTTCGGGGAGGTTGGTTTCCGACGGCCCTTGCTCGAATGCAGCAGGCGGGTCTCGTCAGATTGCTCGACGAGACCCAGGACATCAACAATCATCTGGGCACGAGGCTCCCAGCTGTCCCACGACGCTGTACAGCCACGCCAGCGGACGAGGTAACTCGTCCGGACGCCATTCACGTCGCCGTGGTTTTAAGATACGCTCCACCAGAAAGCAATGACCACCGCCTGAGTCCACCAAAGGATGTGGTGGAGGCGGGAGCACCTGATCCGTCTCGAAGGTTGGATCAGCTTGATGATCAGGAACTGAACCGTGTAACGGAACAGCTGCAAGATGACCTGAATCATGAACGGAATCGGCGTTACGAGCTCTGTGATATTGCAAAGGATAATTACTACTCTTTAGAGCACGATCATTTCAAAGATCGTGCCGCGTTTGCGTTCGCGCAACTTGAGAACGAACGTTCGACTCGTTATCTTCGTGACGAGCTGAATGCAGCTCGTCGAGCCATCGCTCAACTGCGTGAACAGGTCGCTTCGCTAGTTGACCAGACTGGCTCGTTGAAACGGGACCATGCAAAGGTGGTCTCGGCCCTTGACCGCGGAGGTGTTCTTCGCATCTCGAAACGGGATCGTACTGATAGTACGGGCGGAGACGTCCAACGCAATACGTAAAATGCGTACGCATCTTACGGGGCAGTTCAATCGTGTATGCGTTGCCCATGCGGCGCAACACACGAAATGGAACGATATACTTGGGCAGTAATTTACTGCTGCCCACGTTTGTCACTGCGTGTTTCGGTAGATTTACTGTAGACAGTAAAACTAAATCTCCTTCATCAGATGAAAGAACATTCTCTGTTCCATGTTTGTCTGCATTTCTTTTCTGCTTGTATACTGCATCTACAATATGGTCTTGAACGAAGCGGAAAACCGCTTCGCGAGTCAGCAGAAATTCCTCTGCTTATTCATCCTTTTAAACAGCAGTGCTCTTCGTGTGAAATGCTAAAAGAACGTTGTCTTCAACAGTGAGGGTGTCATCGTTCTTACTGTGGCAGTCATTGGCGATGCGGAATATACCAGCATCGTCGTCATAATCATCATCGGTGTCGATGTGATCGACATCAGCATCCATCACGTCGACACCATTGTCGACGGGTGATGAGCAAGATCCAGATCGATTTTCGTTCGAACGAGCCCCCCCCTGTAAACTAGAGTCACACTCTAAGAAGGCGGGTAAACGTGGATGGCGTAGACCATTCACGAAGAACGGTGTATGCGTTGTCGATGCATGCACCGAGTTGTTGATGGCGAATTCTGCCATCGGCAAGAACTCACTCCAACTCGTAAACGAGTGGACATACCCTCGAAGTATCTCTTTGAGAACGCGGTTGACGTGTTCCATCTGGCCATCTGTTTCAGGATGGTCAGAAGTCGACATCGTCAAACGTGTTCCTATTGAACGGAACCCGTATTGCCATAACTCCGCTGTAAAGAGGAGGTCCCTATCAGACACGAGTTCACAGGGTAGCTCATGAAGTCGGAAGATAGTATCGATGAAGACACGAGCACAACCCTGGGCTGTGATTGACTCCGGTACAGCAACAAGATGAACCATCTTGCTGAACCGATCAACAAACACAAGAATAGCAGTATTCTCGTGAACGTCTTTGGGAAACCCAAAAAACGAAGTCCATCGATACGGGCAATCCACACTCTGCCGAAATCGGTAGAGGCTGCAAGGGTGCGCAGGATGAAGGACTAGGCTTCACCCGTTGACAGACTTCACAAGCGCGAATGTATTTGCGCACAAACTTATATTGGCGGGGGCAGTAGAAGATACGACTTACCGTGGGGTAAGTCTTTTCTGTACCGCGATGCCCACTTGTTGGGTCAACGTGACACTCATACATGATGCGTGATCGCAAATCAATATGAGCGGGAACGACGACACGAGGTGTGTCGCCGTTGACTGCTGTACAGTACAGCAGTCCATCACGAACAGAATACCGCTCGGTTGAAGAGCGGTATTGAGACGATAATCTTTTCAAAGCTTGAGTGCATGGATTAGATACTTGATCCATCAATGCAGAAGAGACTCATCTTCTGCGTATGCTCTTCGCACTTCGTCGAGCAGATTCGACGACGAAATACTCACTGATAGTGTTGCAACAGTGGGATCACCCCTGCTGTTGGGTTGAGCAGTCGGCTCGACATCGGGCCGACGCGAAAGAGCATCAGCGACGACATTAAGGCTTCCCGGTTTATAATTGACTGAGAAGTTGTACTCCTCGAAGAAAGACAGCCACCTCTCCATTCGGTGCGAGAGGTGTGGATTGTTTACGGCTGTGCGTACGACGCATGGTCGGTATAAACGATGAAGGGCCTATCTACTAAGCGATATACCCGAAACTTGGCCAGTGCATAATTCATGGCAAGGCGTTCCTTGTCATGCACCGGGTAATTACGCTCAGCTGTTTGCACCTGACGCGATTGATAACAGACGACGCGCTCAACGCCGTCTGAGTCGTACTGCATTAACGCGCAGCCGATTGAAAAATCTCTGGCGTCACAGACCACATGAAACGGCCTATCCTGATCTGCCATCGCCAACACAGGCGATTGCACCAAGCTTTTCTTGACACCTTCGAAGGAGTGCTGGCACTCAGCACTCCGTGACCGCCTCTCGTTTTTCTTTAGCAGACGAGAGAGATATACGGTTATTCTTGGCGTAGTTGCGCGAGTGCTTGTGTAAGTACGCCGCCAAGCCAAGGAGCTTTCGAAGTCCCTTGACGTCGAGTGTCACAGGTCATTCGCTAATCACCTTGATCGTTTTCGGATCAGGGCGTACACCGTTTTTACCCACGATGCAGCCAAGAAGTGATATTTCGTTGGCTGCGAGTACACACTTTCTTGAGGTTCTCGAACAACTTATGATCTCGCATTAGTGTAATAACCTTCCGGATGTGGATTCTATGAATCTCCACGTTCGTCTTTCCATCCACAATGTGGATATGGACGAAGCTGTCGTCAAAGTAACTCGGTGCGAAATCGTGTACCGATCGCAACAGATTCGTAACGCATCTGTTAAACGTTGCAAGGGCGTTACTTAGCTCCTGTGGCATCACTAGCCACTCCCAGAGCATACCACTGGGGGGGGCTCACTGATGTGTAAGGGATATACCGTTCACGCATGAGGATCTGATCCATCCATCAGATCCATGGACAAAAAGATGGCACTTTTTGCCATACCATCTATAATTACGTACTTCCTCGGTGTCGGCATTTGAGCCAGTACCG